CTAATAACTTTTGTTTTTATATTGAAGAGGTGGTACATGGAAAGAAACTTTATAACTGTGCTCTGTTTATGAGGTTAATGATAGCCAATTATTAGAAAATGATCTTTATCTACCCAGCCCTATGTTTGTGGAACTGAGATGAAGAAATCAAATGGACAGTCCCTGACCCAGCCTGAGTGTTAGCCTTTTTCATAAGCCCTTCTTCCAAGTACAGAATCAAAAGATGGTCACTGTGAATGTCCCACCAAATACATTAGTGTGTATAAGGATGGTCTTCTTACCTGAAAGGAATTTCATGGAACACTATCCTAGACTTAAAGGAGGTTTTCAAATGATTATTTGCCCAGAGATACAATAGCTTTTCAAAGATTAATATGGCAAGTTCATGTTTATGTAGAATTGGAATAAATGAGGTTACCCACAAATAAAGTTTTCAGAAACTCAAAGCCTTTCTCATTTTAAGAAACTAAAACCCAAAATTACCACTTCAAACACTTTAAGGAATTTGGATAAAAAATAACTAAAAATTAGTATATACTTCTCTACCTTCTTAAACAGAACATATGGAATATTTTTTCTTAGCTTAATGACTCAAGAGTCACCATTTTGAATACTCATTACTGTTGAAGTTTATAATAAAAGGCCGTTTTTAAGTTACTAAGGCATTATTAGTGTTAGCTCTCCTTGATACAAGATGATTCCAGATTGTTATCATTATTAGAATGTCTCCTCCTTTCTTGTACGAATATTGTCTTTTCCAGGCATCATTTATTGCTTCCTTCACCAGACCAACTGCTGTTTCCCCATCTCCACATTTCACATGTGAGTTTTGACCTGCTCTAGATTGATATCCCAAGTAAACATTGTTAGAATTTTGTCTAAAATAACAGTGAATGGGTACTGAATAAAAAATGAGGTAGTATCCTTATTTAGGGGAATTTCATCATATAACTGTGTTATATTTATGCTGTGTATTCAGAGACCTTTCAACTCTTTTCCTGATTCTTTGCTGGACACAAGAGGGTTCAGACTGTTGGGGCTGAGTATGGCCTTATAAACTCCAGTGATCTGGGGTAGAGAAGAAGCAGGAATTAAAACAAACTCCTCTCCCTGGAGCAAGGCCATCAACACAGGGACAGACTCTGTCAGGATACCGAGAATTAGTGCACACTAGTTCACAGGAGTGCAGCCAAAATCTGGGTTCTGCTGTTACATTTGTTACAGGACCTTTTTGAAGGTCATATGGCCATTTACCTTCATTAAGTTCATTTCTCATAATTATCTCTTAGATCATTTCCAGATACAAGAAGTTCTAGAATATTGGTATTTACCTTAGAGAATATTCTGCCTTTTTCAGTGTGTGAGCAGTTTCAGTTCTTTTACATTCATATTTCCTGAAGGGAAAATCTATTCTAATGAAGAATCTAACTTTTGTGCAGTTGCTATGCATGCATATTATACATTAAGCATTACCACCCAGTCCATTCCAGTCTCCTGACCTGATAGAGTTTAAATACTTCAGGAGATTTCTTACTACTACAGTAGGCAAAAAGCCCACATGCTTGTCATGCCGACTTGCCTGGAGATGTTCTTTAATCATGCTCTTTGCTTTTGATTGATTTAGGCTAGTACCGTGGTCAGCTCCTCAGTTTAACCTCTTTATGTTTACCAGTACCTGTTAATAACAGTCAAAACTATGTTCCAGCTGGCTCCATAGAAAGGACTTTTAAGAGATGGGACCGAATATGATAAATTTTCTTTGTTCCAACCAGTAAGCACGTGATATAATCTAGAAAAGTAGACAGATTACTTCCACAGGTTGTTGTAAAAGTGAAACCATATCAGTCACCACACATGAGACTATGTTTTATTAATCCCTTTGATTTCTCTGTTTGTTTGTGGTACATTCCCTGTTGGACTCTAAGCATTTCATCTCTGACATCATGTCTCCTATCACCTTCCAGCTTCTCCATCATCAGTTAATTCCTGGAAGGAGAAATACACAGTGAGAGAAAGGGGGTTGGCTTCCAGTAGAAAAATGTCAGGGAAAACTCTACTGACTTGGGGGCTCCTGGGTGGCTCAGTCAGTTAAGCACCTGACTCTTGATCTCAGCTCAGGTCTTGATCTCAGGGTTGTTAGTTCAAACCCCACATTGGGCTCCACGCTGGTCATGAAGTCTACTTAAAAAAAAAGAAGAAAGAGGGGCGCCTGGGTGGCTTAGTCGGTTAAGCGTCCGACTTTCGCTTAGGTCATGATCTCGCGGTTTGTGGGTTCGAGCCCCGCGTCGGGCTCTGTGCTGACTGCCAGCTCAGAGCCTGGAGCCTGTTTCGGATTCTGTGTCTCCCTCTCTCTCTGACCCTCCCCTGCTCATGCTGTCTCTCTCTCTCTCTCCTAGAAATAAAACATTAAAAAAAATTTTTTTAAAAAAAGAAGAAAGAAAAGAAATACTTGGGGAAAGAGATAGAAAGAGAAACAGGAAGAAAATAATCAGATAAAATAGGATCAGACTTAATTTCTTGACTTTCAGAGCCTACTGTTTTCCTTCTCAACTGAGATCTCCAAGGACAGAATCATGTCACATCTACTTGACATCTACGGCACCTACCAGTGCACCTAGCAAATAATATTCATTAATTTCTTGGTGGTGAAAAGAATGAATCCTTTGTAGGAGGTTGTATTCTTCCTGTTTTTTGTCAGGCCCCTCCTATTGGATCTTGCTCATTATTTTGGGTCTGTAGCAATCCAACAGCCCAGAGAAGATCCAATTGGATATATCTTTTGTTTTAAAATACATAGTTTTTACTATTGTTCTTAAAAAAAAATAATAACTGCTTTTCTTAATTTTTTTCATTTATCTACTACTTACTGAGCTCCTCATATGTGTAAGGCACTGATCTATGTGATAGCAATACTACCATGAACAAAAGAGAATCTTTTATCATATGCCAAACACTAGGTTGAATACTTTGGACTTTATTTACATTATCTCATTTGATGATTAACAACACTGTTGAGTGGGTATTTTTTCTCAATTTGAAAATGAAGTTTCAGAGATTCAAAGTTCAATTAAATTTCCTGGATCTTACAGCTAGGAAGTAGAAAACAGGAGTTAAACACAAGTTTAACTGACTGTAAAGTTTATGTTCCTAATTACCAAGCTCTACTACTTCTAGACCCTGGATAAAGAAACGGAAATTATATAAATCAGAACCTAAGCTTTAAGAATAAGTCCAATAAATGTGAATAGTTTGTCATGAAGAATTTTTAGGAACCAATTTCTCTGGGCCTGGGTATATAAGCAACTTATTTCCCACCAAATTAAATCTACTACATATTGTCTTACTAGGAATGATTTAATTAAATCCTGTAAACAGCTCTTTTGGAAGCATCCTAAATGTACATTTTTCACACTCATTTCCATTTGTCTACCATCTATGCAGCCATGGAGAGGAAATATATCTGTATCAGGGTACCATGGACAGTTCAGATTCATGTTTAATACAAAGCAGATCAATTTTTGTCCACATTAACTAATAATCTTTTCATTCCTTCCAAAAAATGCACTGAGAGCCAGCTATGTACTATGTACTTCAGTAGGAAGTAGCAATAAGACAGACAAGAACGCTACTGTCCTATACCTTAATAGGGGAATCGGGGAAACAAAAAGTGAATTTAAAAGATAATTTCTGATGATGATAGGTGCGATGAAAAAAATGTAAAGGGTCTGTGAATAGGTGAGCATAGGATAGGAAGAGGAAAGGACTCGCTAAGGAGATGCTGTTTGAGCTGATTCCTGCATAGTGCCAAGGAGTCATTAATGGAAAGATATAAGAGAAAAAAAGAAAATACAATAGGCAAAAGCGAGAACAAACTGCATTTGTTTGAATAACAGGGAAAAAAAGGCTTCTGAGTCTGCATCAGAGTAAGATGAAAAGAGAGGCAAGAAATAAAATTTGAAAAATAGGTAGGATCCCTATCACACAGGGCCTTATATCTGTGACCTTGTAATGCATTGTCCAAACCAAAGACATTAGTAACTGAAGAGGATGAAAGGGGCTCCTTAAGTGGCTGATTCTCGATCTCAGCTCAGGTCATGATCTCACAGTTCAGGAGTTCAAGCTCCATGTCAGCTTCTGCTCTGGTGGCTCAGAGCCTGCTTGGGATTCTTCCTCTCTCTGCCCCTTCCCCAGTTCATGTGCATGTGCTCTCTCTCTCTCTCTCTCTCTCTGTTCCTCTCTGTCTCTCAAAATTTAAAAAAAAGAAAAAAATAATTGAAGGGGGTGTTCTTAATAATTACATCAGGACAGTTAAGTACAAACCCAGAATTTCCCAGATATACTAAGATTTATAGTTACCCCACTTATATACAAGGAGCTGGAATTTTATTCCAATATAATTGTGAGTCCTTAGATGGTTTTAAGTGAGAGTAAAATAATTTGATTTGCCTTTCATAAGTGATCACTTTGGCCTCTTCTGAGATAGATCAATTTTAGAGACTGATAAAGTAATTCTGATATTGCCTGATACTCATAGAGCTGACAAGAAAGTCAATTTGTATATACTTTGTAGATAGTGTAGACAAGACATGGATCGGATGTGTAGGGACGAGGGAAAGAAAGAGGAAAAGTGACTGCTGGGCTTTTGGCTCTAGCCTCTGGTTGAATTATGACATCATTTGCTGATTTTGGAAAGACTGACAGGAAGTGGGTTCAGAAAATGAATGGGAATGAATGGAATCAGCAGTCTGGTTTTGACTATATTGTATGAGATTCCTGTTAAAAACACAAGTGGAGATGTGAAAGGAGTGGCTGGACTCTACTCCCTTTCCTTACTCTGTTTAGAACAGCTTTCTGGCAATGTCATGTATATCCTTAATAAAATAATTTAGAATGGCATTCAGATATTCTATTAAAGTGATGTTTCACTCAACATCTTCAATTATATTTGGTTTTCACTATCTGGTGCTTGAAATTGCTAATACTACCAATTGCCTTTCTAGGAAAGTATAGATCTGGGTGAAATCATGTTCTCCCTTTGTTATTTGCCAACCGCTGGACGTATGACGTTGACGGTCATCAAGTGCAGAAATCTGAAGGCTATGGATATCACTGGGTCATCAGGTATGTACGCGATTGGCCTGTGGGTCAAGGGTACATTCCCGAATTCCAAATAAATCACTTCATGTATACAGAACTATATACGGCTATTGAATTATTGAGTTCATTTGTCTATAGTTCATTTGGATAAGTACTCCAAATCACCTCTTTTGTTTACATCATCATTTCAAAAAATTTTAAAAGATGTTATCAAATAGATTGACTACAAACTTGGATTTTTATTTTTACTCTTTCTCTACTGATCTAGTTCTTTCTCAGAAATTCATAATTTACCCATCACTGCCCTACTTCTAACCAGTCAGTTGCTTATAAAAGAAGATTCTTGGACTTCAAGCTTGTATTACCCTACAAGTATGAAAACACATTTAGGCTGAATTTATCTCCCTCATCTGATCTCCAAAGAAATAACAAGTTTCCAGGACCACCATGTGCACTTGCTTTCTTACCACTTTTCTAAATAAGATTTGGGGCAACAGTGGGGACTGAAAAAAACATGCAAGTGAAGAAATGCTTCTTGAAGTTTCTTAAAGATGTTCTTGGAGGAAATTTCTCTTGTGCCAATGTTGATAAAGAGGTAAAGCCACACCATTCTCCTTTATCCCTTCATTTAAATCACAACAGCCTGGAGGGTTATTTTTTCTAATTTTTTAATGTTTATTTATTATTTTTGAGAAAGAGACAGAGTGCAAGTGGGGGAGGGGCAGACAGAGCAGGAGACACAGAATCTGAAGCAGGCTCCAGGCTCCGAGCTGTCAATACAAAGCCCAATGCAGGGCTCGAACCCCAAACTGTAAGATCATGACCTGAACCAAAGGCAAAGTTGGACACTCAACTGACTGAGCCACCCAGGTGCCCCTGGAGGGTTATATTTTAACTTACTATGTGAACTTTGGCACAGCTCTATGAAAGGAAAAATGGTAAGGACAGAGGAGGGAGGTCAGTAAGCAGGTGTTGCGTTAAACAAATAAAAAATGGTAGTGGAGATATAGGAAAGGATGACCTAAGGGAAGGAATCTATAACTTTATGGTTCTACAAGACAAAAAATAAACTAAATTTGAAAAAGCAAAATTCTACACTAAGTTCTAGTTTAGAAAGAGCTCCAGGATATACTAAGTGAATAAAAAAAGTGAGGTGCAAAAATAAATATGAAAAGTGTGCTTCTTTCTGAGTAAGAATAGGGAACATTACAACATATATTTATGTTGTTAACATTTACAAAAAGAAATAGCAAAGGGTTAGAGAGAGAAGTATGGGAACAGATGGGAGGGAGACTTCCCATTGTACATTTTTCTCTATCATCTTCACTTTTAAACTACTTTATGAATTATGCTTTCATTTTTTTTTTTAATTTGCAACACATAGTTGATATATAGAGGTAGAAATAAAGTACGTAAAGTTCACATTAATTTTGGTGAAAAAGTCTTGGGTCAGTAAATGTTGAAGAACTCTGCAAATTATTGTTTATTCTACTCTTTCCCCCATTTATCAAAAGAGATCAAATTTTGAGACAAGCAGACAGCATCAAAGTTGTAATTAAGTGCAAGATTACTTTTTGTTTATATGAAGCTTTTCATTGGGGGAGTGCACGCTCTGAGAACACCACCTCATTAATTCTCACAAGAGGCTTGTGAGTCCACTAAGGACCCAGTAAATTATCCTTGTTACTAGTAAAGAAATGTGGCCAGAGACATGATGGGGTTGGCAGAGGATAAATCATGCCTTGTGCCCATTGTTAACCTGGGGCTCGTAGACCAAAGAGTATCAGAGAAGTAAGTTTCTTCCTTAGAGCACACTTCCTATTAAAAAATTGAAAAATAAATGGGAAACAGTCATTGAACATTACCATTTTACTTTGTTTTCCTTTGCATACTCTATTTCTAGCCAGAAAGTATATTTTGTCCCTAGATGGAAATGTTTATGAAATATACGATACATTTTTCGAGTGCTTAAAAGGCGTTCATTTGCTCAAATAAATTTATACGGCCATGGTTTTGACTTATTCTAAGGAAATGAGATGTATTACACCATTGGTGGAAAGAATAAAAGAGAGAGTGGTGCTACAGTTGGAGAGTGGCCAGAATAAGGGAGAAAAAACAAGAATGAATGTAGAGCAGTCACTGAGTGTTTTCACCAGCTAGTGTTCTCACCCCAGTGCCAGTACCCCTTCCCAAAGCCAACACCCTCTCCCAAAGCCACACCTGCTTCTCATAAAAAGGTACAAAAGTAAGGCTTTTATAGAAACTTTCACATCGTCCTGGATAATTTTCTATAATACTGGAACACTTTATCTACTTAACATGGCAGAACTAAAACTAGAGATGAGTCAGTGGGGGCAGAACTTGTTATGATTTATTTGACCCCTTTGGCCCATAAAAATATACTGCAACTAAATTTTTCTCTTCTGTGGACCCTGGGTGGCTCAGTTAGTTGGTGAAGCATCCGACTTCGGCTCAAGTCATGATCTCAGGGTTTGTGAGTTAGAGCCCCATGTCGGGCTTTGTGCTGACAGCTCGGAGCCTGGAGCCTGCTTCAAATTCTGTGTCTCTCCCTCTCTCTGCCCTTCCCATGCCCATACTCTATGTCTGTCTCTCAATAATAAATAAATGTTAAAAAATTTTTTTAAGAAAAGTAAAATTTTTCTCTTCCAAGTTGACATCATATAATGTCATATCAATAGCTTTCCTTGAGAACATCTTTAAACCAAATATTACCTTTTTATTGTATACTATTGTATAAATAGTAAATACACTGTAAATAGGTATAAATACAGTGTATTTATGGGGCGCCTGGGTGGTTCAGTCTGTTAAGCATCCAACTTTAGCACAGGTCATGACCTCAACAGTTCGTGGGTTCCAGCCCCGCGTCGGGCTCTGTGCTGACTGCCAGCTCAGAGCCTGGAGCCTGTTTCGGATTCTGTGTCTCCCTCTCTCTCTGACCCTCCCCCTGTTAACGCTGTCTCTCTCCCTCTCTCAGAAATAAATTTTTCTTAAAAACATAAAAAAATATATTTGTAGTGTTCACTTCTTCAATCTGAGCTCCTTAATCACGCACCATGACTATAAAATGAAACTTCTAATTTTAGTACCTTTCCAACAACTGAGGAAAATTCTAACTAATGCAGTTTTTGCTTTCTAATTTCTACTCATTGTGTCATATATGTGTCTGTGTATATATATATGATACAATATTGCTCTTTCAAAAACTTTCCTCTTCTTATCCTAAATCATTTTTAAAAAATTAACTTTAATGCAATTATTCTTACCTGTTAGGATTACGTTCCCTAGAAATCACTTCTAACAAAATGTGTCCTCAAATAGCTGTGACTAAAAGACACATTCTAATTCCAGACTGGCTCTTTATAGACTAGTAGGTTTTCTCTGTTGTATTAAAAACAAATGAAATTAATTATTTTCTGATTCATTCAGGATAAATTCTTACATTTAAAGTAAGAAGTCTTAGTCTATTGTTCCCAAATAAGTCATTTGAATTTAAAACCAATAATATTACAAGGCTTAATGTACCACCCTTCTTATTTAGTAACAGTTAACTACAGTTTGATTTATGCTTTGTACTATTACTTTCATTTTAATGAAATTTCCTTACTACTCCTAGATCCTTATGTCAAAGTGTCTCTGATGTGTGAAGGTCGAAGACTGAAAAAGAGGAAAACAACTACAAAGAAAAATACTCTAAACCCTGTGTACAACGAGGCTATTATTTTCGATATCCCTCCAGAGAATGTGGACCAGGTCAGCCTCTCCATTGCGGTCATGGATTATGACAGGTATGTGTATTTCTCACTCACTGAAGAACAGCCCTGTATGACCAGATGTAGAGCAAATACAACTTTTCCAGTAATTTACTGCTATAACAATTTTAATTTAAATTGGAAGAGGAAAAACTTACTCATTCAAAATTTATTTTTCCCTGTTATAATATTTTTCTCTTTTCCAAAAAAAGTCATTCTTTTTTTAAAATTTTTTAATGTTTTATTTATATCTGAGAGAGAGAGAGAGAGAGACAGTGTGAGCAGGGGAGGGTCAGAGAGAGAGGGAGACACAGAATCCAAAGCAGGCTCCAGGCTCTGAGCCGGCTGTCAGCACAGAGCCAAACGCGGGGCTCGAACCCACAAACCGTGAGATCCTGACCTGAGCTGAAGTCGGACGCTTAATCGATTGAGCCACCCAGGCGCCCCCCAAAAGAAGTCATTCTTAAGTTGCAAGAATGGACAGCTGGGGCTGGTGTAAGGGCGGTGCAGAAGCCATATGGAACCCATTACAGAAAGCACTGTTGTGACGTCCTTTTACAATAACAATAGAAATTACAACCAATCGAGTTTGCTTTCCCAGTCGGGCTGCAATATGAATCTAATCATTCTTAACCAGGCTCTGTCATCAACTAGCTGTGTGAAAGAGCTAGTTATGTAATCTCTTTGGGATTCACTTTTCCCATCTGTCAGGCATTAGCATAATACAGAACTATTAACAATGAGCATTAAGAGTAGAAGGTGAATAGCGACCATAGGAAGACAGCCTTGATGCCTTCACATCAATTTTAAGACATGTTTTGTGGATAATTCTTCCAGCTCACACACTTTGAGTCACTTCTCTCATAAAATAAATTGCAAACTCCCAAGTGTGCCTCTGAAGTTTCTTCCTGCTTCAGTCCCACTTCATTCTCCCATTCTTGCCTTGTCTGAAATGTTACCCGGCTCTGTGTGTCTCATCCCAGCCCTGCTTTACAGCCCTGCTCAAGTCACCCCTTCTGATTCCTTCTCAGCTAACCAACCTCTTCATCTTTGAATCTCTTGTCCCAATAAACATTCATATCTCTTATTTGGCCCTTGCTATATATACTTCTTTTTATGCTTTTGGTATATATCCTTTAGAAAAGAATACTGTATGTTAACCTACAAAATTACCAGCATATAGAGAGTGTCTTCCTACATTTATTTTGTTCTAATGTATTCAAAAACAGTTCTCCATTTTATGGTATCATGAAAAGAGTAGTAACCAGAACCCTGTAACGTAGAGAACCTGATATGGGCTATCCTCTGGCTCAGAGAAAATGAAGCACTAGAAAATGAAGCACTAAAACGATAAAATGTTTTATGCCATCTATTTGCAATTAGTTTATATCACAGTTTATGGAAAAAAACTCATTATTTAGAGAGAGAGAAATCTTGAATTAGTTAAGATTTCAAACTCTAAAAGTGTTGCAATCCTTTCATCAGAAGCCCTAGTTCTGTTTTACCAAAAAATTACTCCTATTGATTTAGCACAGCAGTGACTACAGGTAGATACAAGTGAGCATTTGTCAAACTGACAATTTTAGGGAAATGGATCCTAACAATATAAAAAAAAAAGGAAGATTTGAAAACTTATTCCTAAAAATATGCTTGTTTGGGAAACTTCATATAGAAGAAACATGATACTAAGCATTCATATCTACATCAATGACAGGAAGAAAGTAATGAAAGTTCTGAAAATTATCTCAAAAGTCTCCTTAGAGATGTCTGTCAAAATAACCCCATAGGAATGCCTTTAAATTACATTCCATTCTAATGTAACGGAGCACCAGGGTGGCTCAGTCGGTTAACCATGTGGCTTTTGATTTGGGCTCAGGTCATGATCTCACAGTTTGTGGGTTTCATCCCTGCCTCAGGCTCTGCGCAAAACAGCACAGAGCCTGCTTGGGATCCTCTCCCTCTCTCTCTGCCCACCCCCTCAAATAAATGAACATTAAAATTAATTAATTAGTTGCTTTTCGTTCTTAATTAGCTTAGCACATGCACACTTGAGTCAACTGTCTTGATTCATATCCTGCCTCTGCCTCTTACTAAGTGTGTAGAGGTGGGTCCCTTAACTTCTGGGTGTTTACTTTATCTGTAAAATGAGATGATGATAATGATACTCATGGTCATGGTGTGAGAATTAAGTGAGCTAGTACATTTCAATTACTTATAACAGTGTCTGGTACGCAATAAGCTCTCAGAAATATTAGCTATCATTGTTATTTTGATTTGTTGCTGTGAAAACAGGACAGGAATAGGAAACAGGAATGTTGTTCAGTATGCTCAGAATGCTCCTATGCAATAATAAATCAAATGCTGTAGTAGCCCTGCCCCATTTAATTGTAGTACAAGACTACCATATGCTGATATATCACTTAGAGTCAATTAAATATGGTCATTTATACAAGAAAGTGGGTACTGAGCTCTTGGTAAGAAATCCAAGCATCATTATAAAACATTAAGCGTTGTGGGGGAAAAATGAGATCTGATTTATATCACTTAAACTTAATAGTACTGCTTCTAAATTCAACAATACAGGTAAGGAGCAGCCAGCGATTCTCATTCTGTTTTATTATGAAATGTGCTCAAGTTAGAGAGAACTAAAATGGTCTATGTGTGCTCCTTTTGCAAATTCATATTTGAATGCTGATCCTGTGTAGTAAATTTTGTTTACTTAAGGTTTTTAATTTGATCTAAAGTAGTTTAATCTACAGAATCATTTAGGACGTATCACAAAATCTATTGTTTATATCATATGTTTCAAATTCTGCTAAGATGTGTGAAACTCCATTTATCTTTGAATGTTGGAATGAAAGTGTGATATCCTCTGAATCACAGGGTCGGACACAATGAAGTCATCGGAGTGTGTAGAACAGGACTGGACGCTGAGGGTCTTGGGCGAGACCACTGGAACGAAATGCTGGCCTATCACCGAAAGCCAATAACACACTGGCACCCCTTGCTGGAGGTATGCTGTGATTCCCTGACATCTACTCTCTCTTTCTCTCTCTTTTTTTTTTTTTTATCTCTTTTGTTTAAATATTCCTTATCTGCCAAAATTTGTCTAACATTGTATATATTCATCTGTTTATTTAAGACAGACATTGCTCTTCTGTCCCACATATTCTATCATCCAGGTTTCAGAGTTCTGTGTGCCTTGTTGGAATTTAGAAACCACTAAACTTTCCGGGTTTGATATTCCTTTGGACAGTAAGATCATGAAAATTACAAGTCTGTCATTTTCTTTACATAGCCTGGAAACTTCTATCAATGAATGATAGAGCTATCAAGTAAATTTATTACCAACTGGAAACCGAATTTTGCTGCTTCTCTTTTGTGAAAACAGCCACCTCACCTAAACTTCCTAAGGATCCTTAAATAGAAGTACTGTCTCCTAATACAACTCATCTGTGTAAAGAGACAGGTATTTCTCCCAATACTCTGGTCAGAAAGTAAAAGTGCTCACACATTTTTAGAATGTTGAGGCATCAGCGTGCCTGAGTTCAAAGCCTGGCTCTGCTGTATGACTATATGTTAGAGAACTTTGGACATGTTACTATAACCCCTCTACATTTCTGCTGCTACTCTGTAATAGCAGTAAACTCAAAAAGTAAAACTAAATAAAATGCCAAATACTAAGTGCTTAGCAGTTTGACATAATGCTAGCTCTGATTACAACTAACGTTAATAGTTATATTAACCAGAAGTATCAACAGCAGTTTCTATCAGGATTTTTAGGCTTTAAGGTTACTTGTCAGTCTACTTGATACACTGAATGTTGCTAGATGGAATGACTTTCTTTCCAAAGATGATTGCTGGAGCCTCTTGAAGAGTCACAAAGTACGTCTTTTATGTGACCTGAGAGATAACGCAAGTTGACAAAAAGTTGTGTGGTAGGTGATGGAATTCATGCAGTTCGATAAAAAGAACAGTTATGATAGCCACATAGTAAATGAAAAATACATTGTCCTCTGTTTATGGGTAAGATCTGTTTCTCTGGCACTAAGCACTGAGTTGAATGGGAAAGGCAGTACAGTGTAATTAACTAAATGTCAGAGGGTCCAGGTTCCTTTCATTTTAGTCACAAAATTGTGACCCTGGCTGTTATTCAGGATGTTACAGGGAACATCTGATGCACACTATATGAACAGTACATGCTCAGGCAACAGAGATGAACTATTATCATAGATAAGATATCTGCTTTTATATATATACACATAAGTGCTCTTCATCTTCACCTCATTTCATTTAATATAAATCATAAAAGACACACATATACAAACACAAATGTACATATACGCAGCACTTTCCCCTTGCGTGTTTCAGAAGTACAGTCTTGGGAAAGTTGTGTTTCATGTCAACAGTGTGTATTGTCTAAAGTATACCATACTTTTTATTATTTAATCACTACCCATTTTCCTACTTCTCACCTTGTTTGTACTTAAAATTTGAAAAGTGAATATTAATTCTAAGAATCTAGACATGAGAGTAGAGTTTGCTGGGCAGGGAACCACACTGGAAAGTGATGTGGGTTCTAATCCTTGCTTCTCTGGCTGTCCAATCCTGAGCAAATCACTTGTTCTGTGTACAGCCGCATTCTTCCATATGTAATGAAAATAGAAATGCATGCCCCTTCAGACGTCACAGGACTTGTGTAAGGAGAAAAGAGATAATGTGAGCAAAAACTTTTCACTGATGAAAGGACAGGGCTTGTGTGACCCAAGGTGTATTATAATTACTTGTGAGTGTTTGATAAGCAGCTTGACATTTTTCTGGTGAAGGGGAGCTATGGAATAGGCATATGTTTGTGTCTCAGGACATGTGAACACTTTTCAGTCATTGTAGGACATACAGGAAGAACAAGCTACAATCTGGGCATCAGAAGAAGATCCCTGATATTTTTCTAGCAGCTGAGTATCAAGGACAAATGGGACTAAAAGACTATGTAAATGTACTTTCTCCAGCAAGTAGCTCCTTTTTTTCCAACTCCTGCACCTACATTCATTGGTCAAACAGAACAAATGGACTAGAGACCTAAGAACTGGCTGGATTTTGCATTTTGGGAAAGTGGTGAGTGTATAATTATGTGTTTTATTGCCAGAGGAGTAATTAAAATAAGAAGGGAACAATTATTTGAAAACAGGGTAAGTCGGTGGGACTGAGACTAAAGCATCATTTAGAAAATCTGATTACTTCTACTTAAATAATCAAAAGTTTATCCTGTTGTAATTGAACTTTTTAAATACACTTAATATTTGAGAACCATGAGAAAGTATTCTTCAACACCCTGGGCTCTCATTTGCCAAAGTCAGTCCCCATTGTTTCGTTAATGAACCCTATGAACATCACCTCCTGCCTTAGAGCAAGTGCAATGTGGTCTCTTGTGCCTTGAGCCTTCTCCCCCTTACCTAACAAGTGTCCCCTGCTATCACAAATCATTAATTATTTTGCAGTGAGAACTAAAAACCTATCTTAGAATGTGAAATGAATACATAGTCTTGAATAGTTGTGTGTATAGTGTTGGTCCGCATGCCATTTTGTACCATGCTGTGTCTACATCTCTGTGAGATGCCTGTGCCCCATCTTGCTGCCCGAGAAGGTGAGTTCTGGAGGGCAGGGGCAGTTATGTGTATCTTCTCCTCAGAGATGGCATATCATCGGTGAATATTCACTATTAAAAGGTAACAACAAGGGGGCTCAGTGGGTTGAGCATCTGACTCTTGATTTCGGCTAAAGTCATGGTCTCACGCTTGGTAGGTTTGAGCCCCACATCAGGCTCTGTTCTGACAGTGCAGAGCCTGCTTGGGATTTTCTGTCTCCCTCTCTCTCTGCCCTCTCCCCACTCATGCTCTCTCTCACTCAAATAAACATTTATTTTAAAAGGCAGCAACAACTACCCACTTTATTATTTTTTTGCACTAGGTCATGCATTATGAAATTATTGTCTTTCAGTTACCTGGCCGGGCAACCAGTTTTGATAGTCAAGGATCCTGTCCATCTCCCAAACCACCTTCCACACCATAATGCCTCCAAAATAAAGACCATTTTAATAAGGACCCAGGACCATGTGCTCATCAGATCAGAAAAAGAGTGGAAGGTTTGATCTCCTCATTTAAAATATATCCTGATAATGAACAAACTTGATGTACAATTTTTCATTTACTTTTTTTCTTTATCCGTTCTTTAACTTTGGACATCTTGATATATTTTACTTGAATACAAATAGTCCTTACTTTCATAAGGCATTTTATTCTTCATTTCATATGCCTATTAGCACAAAGGTGTTTTAACAAGTTGCAATTCTTTGCATAAATAAAGAAATACATTCTTTTAAAAGAATCCATACTTACCTAAAATCAGATATAGTTTATGCTGCTATTGTGTAACATAGCACATGTCACGTATGTATGGTTTTTGATTTTGTTACAACGATGTTCATCTCTAGTCGCACAGATGGTTCCATATAGACTTTAATGGAAATTTTGAACTTAACTTACATAGCATTAAATCCTTGAATAATCAGATTAATGTTACTTATCTGATGAGATATTCTTTCATTCTCAGAAAATTACTTCCTTAGTGAGGTTTGGCTCTGCTAAACTCAAAACTTTGTCTCTCAAGGTCGTTCTTTAAAAGCTGTAATTTAAAGAACAATTTTGAATTAAATTTAAGGGAGTAATATTTAGTAGCTGGAAAATGGAGGCTGAGCCATTTGGGCTACCATTTTATACTGTCTTAATGTTACAGTAGTTCAAACATCTGTTGAACTGTTTAACTGATATTTTAAAAATTCTAATAATCTTTATCTCAAATGTAGCATTAGTATTCCTAAGTGAATAGAATCAGAAGTCATTCATTTTATAAGTGTTTGTAAAGTTCTCAAGTACTGTGACCTGTATATTTTATGACATAAAGCTATTACATAGATCCTGTATTTCTGATAGAACATACTACACCAAAGGTACAATAAACATCCGTGCTCATTGTCAATTAGATTGTACATAGTAATGGTGACTTTTAAACCCAATCAGAAACTAATCACTAGAACTGGGTATTTTCCTAAAGAATGGATGACTTATTTTTCAGAAACTTCTATACATATGTCATAAATAACATAACTTCCACATTTAATAGAAATAAAAGTAATTCTAAAGGCCCAGACCCACAGTCCTTTCATGAAAGGTATTTGCTTTCATAAGGATCAAGGATCAGGCCAGGAATCGTAAAAACTATGCAAATGTTTTTACATGACAAAACTTTCTTTTAAATCAGGTCAACTTTTTATTGTCTCATTTCTGGACCCTCTCTGAAAGTATTCATATTGAACGATCCCAACTGCATTTTTGAGACATAGGCAATGGATAGTGCATATTTCAAGGTTATCTCATGACAGGAGGTTAAAAGAACCAAAAAAAGCAAGAAAATCTGTACTTAGAATATAAAAACATATTCATCAGAATGAGAAAAATTTATCAGTAGTTATAAAATTTTCATTTTAGAAAAATCCCTTATTTCTAAATGTTAAAAAAAAGTTTCAAAACTGTGAAATTTTGATCCTGGCGTCTCTCATCTGATGGCATTACTGTTAATTAAGATGTAAATATTTTACACATTAACATTTTAAAGGCAAACACAATTCCCTATAATTTTTCAAAAATGCCTGTATCTTCCTAACAAAAGCAATTATTTCTAGCTAACATTAGCTGATAAAAAAAAATAATAGAAGGAACCTGTTTGAAAATAACTGTCTACCTTATAAAGCTTAGAAGAAACATTTGCTATAGACAGAATGACTGAAGATGATACTTCAATTTTGGAAATCTTTGTTTTACTAGGAAATACAAATTGTCAAATGGGAAGACAAGTGATAATAAAATGATTTTTTTGCGGACAGATGTTTTATTAGTAGATATAGCTGCAGCTTACACTTAATTAGCAACTATATTTCCTGTGTGTAATAATTATTTTCATCTGAAAACATAGTTTAAGGACTTTTTTATGCATTCTTAGACGAAGCTCCTGCTTTTCTTTGCCTCCTATGGAGAAAAAGCCAATGCTTGTGATGAAAAAAACAAACAAACAAACCACAAACAACCAGCCAAACAGGAGACTTTACTATGGGGATTATAGATAAAATCTGTTTTTAAGGAAGTTTTTAAAAACTGTTTCCTAGGGATTAGAGTAAACTCATCATACCAACTGTTTGTTAATCCTGTGAGACAGATGAAAAGAAACTTCACCACAACTCATCTTTCATGCAATGCATGAGGGAGGCTTACCCTCCTATTCATAAAGCGTAATCATTTAAAATAACACTTGATGGTGTAAAAACATAATCCTACCACTTTCAATACAACACACCCTGACCCTACACAGCCACACACCCATTCAAACTTATCCTCCTTCTGCTTGTGATTGAAGATGGAATGTTTTGAATTTCAGTATTTAAAATAAGGTTACAGATACCCTCCACTGATTTGTGAGAGACACATTTTAATGACAGCACCGACACATTATGAAGTGGCAATTTGGGTATATAATGAACACCGAATTTCAGGGACTTATTCAGGGACTCATCAAACATAAGTCTAGGAAAAGGGAACAAGTGTTGATTCATTATGTAACAGTGATGCTCTTTTTGTTTTTTTTAACTTATTTTATTTATTTACTTGTGTATTTTACCTGATTCTCTAAGTAATTACGGGAATGAGGAAATTGAATCTGAAAAGAACATTGTTTGTGGAGTCTACAGTCTTTTCACAAAAATCTGAACATAGGATGACTTTTTTTTACACTGTTTTCTTAATATTCTTCTTGACAATTTTAATTTTCTTTTAATTTTCTTCTTTGTCAGGCTAGCCCTGTTTCTGGTACATTGTTTTACATGTAAAAACTCATGATACGAATGCATTCATAGTTCAGTAAAATCTATCATTACAACTATGTCAGGGAACTAGAGACAGGAACACAGAGCTGAGCATCCACTTTCTTATGCAGTTTTGGCAAATATGCGTGTGTTCTAGTTACTGCAGGGAGATCACAACTGATCAATACTGACTCAGGTTTCAGATAAAAGCAAATATATTTGAACCTATTTGGTTGTGATACTTATTTGTCATTTCCACCTTGTTTATTCTCCTTTAATTTTTATTATCTTAAGATTTTGCAGGCTCAATGAAGAACTAACAGTCTTATAAGACTTTAATTCCTTACTAAGGAATTGCTTTAAAAATGAAAAAACTAAACTTTCACTCCTTTCTCAACTTTCACTATCCATAAAACAAGATATAACTTACTTCAGAACGAGTCATCAAAAGAGCTGAAGGCTATGACAAACAGATACAAAATCTTAACTTTGAACAGATAGTCATTTCTTTACCTCTTTAAGGAGTACCTGATGTTATCTAAGTACAGTACGTATATTTTCATGGAATGGCATTCCGGCTGATTATTTTTTGCCACCTTAATTGTGATTATTTCCAGGTAACTTAACTACCTGATAATTTAAACAAAAAACAAAATAGACTTGATAAGGATTTCAGAGAGTCATTCAACCTCTACTACATCTAAAGACAATGTAGAGATCTGTTTTCTTCATAACTTGTTCTTGGAGCAGCTCTGGTTATTCTGATATACTTCAATTGATCTAAACTTCTGTAGTTTTTAGGCTAAGAATTTATTGCTGTCAATAAAAGATGATGCAAAAGTATGGAAAATAAAATAATTTAAAGTTAAAATCTACATAACTAAATGGTAGTTAAACACAGTTGTTAAAGCACATGGAAATAAAGATTTTGAATGCAAAGCCAAATCTTCTTTGTACTTTTAACTTTGGGTAGAAGGTAAATCTTCTAATACTGTCTAAAAAAATTCCATGACGCAGAATTTTAATAGTTCCTCAGTGACATGGCTCAGGATATGATTCATCTGAACCTACTAAGACCCATTCTTTAAAAGAAAATAGTGAGTTTATATTTTACATGAGAAACAGAGCCGATTAAACTAAATTCTGTTTCCAATGTATTACTTAGTGATGCTCCTGAAGGTAAGAATTTTCTGTTTCATTAAAAGACTTTTCCTATATTAACTCAATTTTATGTTAATTAAAGTGAATAATAATTTAACAAAAAATGCATTGATAATACTTGTCATCCACCATTAACAGTTAACCAAAAAGATGTGAACTTGAACAGTGGCAGTAATTTAATATCAGTTCAAGTGTTTTCTCATCAAAGTAAACAGGTGTTTTCATCTTCACCCTGCTCATCATGAAGGTGGGTAAGTGGGGTTTGATTTGATGGCATGGCAATATCATGCTATAGAAACTTTAAAAAGAAAGAACTAAATTAAGGACTGAGGTGGGGTTTAAGTTATTGAATGCAAACATTTTGAATACCAGAAATGGTGTTTGAAAAAATAAATAGATGTTTAAGAGAAAAAGATAGGCTTCTTTATGCTTGAAATGATTTAAATACACTCCTACAATGAGGAATTGATTAGAGTAATTCTATTTTTATCTATACTGAAATACTGGAAATGATTTGCTATTGATAGATCTAGAGATACAGATAGTACTTAACATGGAAATGTTTTCATCTCCAACTGACAATAATTTCTTCTAAGCTCACCTGGGTCAGGAGAACTCTCTCCAAAGAGCAAACTGTGCCTGATCTTATGAAAGGGGGAAAAAAAAAATAGGTCATTTCTTCAGCAATTTTGTTGTGATTTACATCGACTGTGCATAGAATCCCTATTTACTGTACAGGGTGGTGGATTTCAATTATTCAATTTCATATTTTTGTTCCCTTGAAGACAATTTAATGGATGATGAGGCATATTATAAAAATGAATGAAAAATTCCTAGAGAAGTAAGTCTCCATGTTGGAAGGTGAATGCATCGGATTTTTGTTTTTGTTATCTGTTTCAAAATTGGTTTGTTTTGTTTTTTTAATTTTCCCACTCTGAACATCAATACACAGCTTGGCTATGATTTTGCTGCGGAATAAAGTTTGTGAACCAAAAAC